GGGACACATGGGTGGATCAAGCCAATAAATAAATCCACAGTTTCTTCCCTACAAAAAAGTAAGGAATATATATATATATATATATATAGAGAGAGAGAGAGAGAGAGAGAGAGAGAGAGAGAGAGAGACTCAAAACATATGATTCCAAGCATGGAATAATATATCAGGTTAACAACCGTAACTATCAAATGACCTCTTAAAGAAAATGATTGAATGAGATAGCTAAATAATAGTTCGTTTTTAGAAATACAAAGAATTTTGTAGAGTTAGTATTTAAAACGATTCAAATGGAAGTTCATGAAAGCTTTTTTTTACCATATATATGCTACTTAATTTCCTTGAGAAAAACACTTAAAAGTACAATTAAAAGGAAATAATTCAAGATCCAAATCGGTTGTTATTGCCCATACAAATTGTTATTTAGTAGTGTTAAAACTATAGCAACCATCACCCTTCGTTAACTCTCTCATTACAGTCAAATCAAGAAAATCGAGAATTCAACTAATGGCTTTCAAATTGAATATTTCTCTTAAGATGACATTTGGTGTGTTTTTTGGATCATTGATCTTGAAGAAGATTACGATCTACTGGTAAGTCAGATACCTTGGGACCATTGACTCTTTGATATGTGTATGTGTGTGCATCTCTTGGACCTGCATGCCTCGGACAATGCTATGCAATCGAGGAGAATTGCTTACAACTTTGCAAACACTTGGTTTTGTGACAGGTTCTTGCAATTTGATACATCTATTATTGTGTTGTTGTCATGATTAGTTGACTAATGTTTTCATGCCCATTAATAATTAAGGGTCATCGTTTGTAAAACTTTTTTTAATTCCGGAGAGTTAACTTCAAAATATACCCTTATAGGTAAAATTAAAATAAATTACTATAAAAGTATAAAATGTAAGTCTGAAAATAAATTTTTATATTTTTTGATAATTAATAATATTATTAAATTAAATTTTTTTCAATATTGAGTTCGTTTTGAAGGTATTGATGAGATAATTATAATTAGATAATTTGTAAAAAGAGAAATATATATATATATATATATATATTGATATTTTTAGTTAATATACTGTTTATGTATGATAATATGATAAGGATGTAAAATAAAAAATGAAAACATAATGATGCAAATTAAATTAAATAACTAATTATAAAAGTGTAATTTGTAATTAAAATTCAATGTTTATGCCAAAGATTTTCACATATGAGTAAACCTCATTCCTTTTTGTCGTAAACTATGTTATTTTGGGAATTTGTTTTAAAAAGTTAATTTAATAATAAATAATAGAATTAAATATAGTGACCATTTTTTTTTTTACTTTTAATAATAACATTTAAAAACGACTTAAATGAAAGTCTATAAAAAACACAAATATATGTTACTTTATTTCGTTAAGGAAATGATTGAAATGCAATTAAAAAAAAATCATTCTGATTCTGGTTTTTTATACTCAAGCGATCTGTGTTTCCATTTCAAAGAGCTGGTATTTAAAAACGACTCAAATGGAAAGCCTATAAAAACATAATATTTTGTACCATATATGTTATTTTATTTCGTTAAGGAAACTATTTAATAGATAATCATTCTAATTATGGTTATCATGGTGCATATAAATTGCAACTTAGTGAGTACCAAAACCATATCAACCACCATCGTTCGTTAATTCGTGCATACCATCAACTCAAGAAATACCGAGTGTTTATCTAATGGCTTTCACACTGAAAAAGTCTCTTGCACTGACGTTTCTTGTAATGGCACTTCTTTACATGACATCTGTTCAAGTTTCAGGTACGAAAACTTTCTTTTCTTTTCTGTTATCTTCAAAAATCTCGAGCTTAAGACACACATGTTACAATTGTGAAATGTATTTACCGTTCGTATATGGGTGTGCAGCTCTTCAACCGGCATGCCTTGGGCAATGCTCTGCTATCAAGTCGGATTGCTTACAACTCTGCAAAAGTCTTCGTTTTGTTACTGGTTCTTGTAAACCAGGAAGTCCTTCTTTATGTTGTTGTCATAATTAACTGTTCGTGAATAAACTTGACTTACAAAAACTATCATTTAAATTAATAAATCGTAACTTTCTATATTTTTTGACAACGGACGTTTGTTTATAATTGCTCATATAAATTACATATTAACCATATGACCTTAAGTAGGTCCATTTGTGATACGAAGTGACAAACGCCATGACGATATCATTTTGTTCATACGGAAATAAGTAAAACCCCATTAGATTACAGTTCAAAAACATCGACTAAAGAAATAAGAGAAAAATGATTTAAAGTTTTATTTGGTCCAGATGTGGGCCCCTTTCCTTGTCAACTCAAAATCATATCATGTCACTTTATTCAATAGTAGTGTATTGCATTATTGATTTCCACTGTACATGGCGCATATATATATATATATATATATATATATATATATATATAAACTTAAATTTTCATTTTTGGTTTTTTCTTTTATAAAATTTTATCTCGGATCTTTATAATATATATATATATATGGATAAAACTGTCCGTATATGTTATTCTGTCTGTATTGATTGGGAAGATCTTTATTTCAAAAGATTTTTCATAGATGGAAGGAGTGTTCAGTTTTGAAAAAACTTGGTTTTCTGTACAAAGCTTTCCCCATAAGTTTACCGAATAAGCTACTTTTTTATATCATTAAGCCACTACCAAACAGTCATATATAATTGATCGAATAAATTGTGATTTTTTTGGTTCTTTATATCTCGAGCATTACACGTCCAACTTTTAAATTTTCTATTTTAATAAACAAACTTATAAAAACTATTTAATCAATTATTCATCCAAACCCACACTTCAAAACTGATTATTTGAGTATTTTTAATTTTGTGACTATTTTATATTATCTCATAAAAAATCATTTTTTTAAATTAAAATACATATTAATTAGAAAAACTGTATATTTATTTTAAAAACTATTAAATTGATAAAATGACTTTTTCATTAAAATTCTCTACTATAAGAAAAATAACGTAGTTTCTGGGTTACATTCAAATGTACAAATAAAGTATTTGAAATTAAGAACGGTTAACAATGGATAGTTATAATATATATATATATATATAGATGGAGGTTCAAACGAGAATCCCTGTGATTTACGAGAATGTAAGAACAATCTAATAACCTCAAACTTTTTTTAATTAATAAATTAACTTATATTAAATATAAATAAATTAATAAGGGCAGTAATGTAATTAATTAATTTTATAAATTTTATTTTATTTTAATTAGTCATAATTTTATTTTATTTTAATTAGTCATAATTGGTTATTGGGTAAAATAAAATAAAATTTATAAAATTAATTAATTACATTACTGCCCTTATTAATTTATTTATATTTAATATAAGTTAATTTATTAATTAAAAAAGTTTGAGGTTATTAGATTGTTCTCGCATTCTCGTAAATCACAGGGGTTCTCGTTTGAACCTCCACATATATATATATATATATATATATATACTAAAAACGTACTCGCGCAATGCAGCGAGATATATCGTGATTTTAATATTTCATTTTATTTTTTATCTCAGTCGATGTTATAATATGATTTTATGTGATTTTGAGAAAACGATTATGTTTTTATTTTTGAATAAAATATATGTTTGAAGATATCATAAAAATTTGATAAAAATATATCGATATTAGTATCAAACTAACAATTTGAAATTCCTCATTTTTTTGTGTAATTTTTTAATTCAATTTTTTTATAATTTAATTTATGTACAATAACGAAGTAATTTATATTTGGTTTAATAATA